GTCTGCCGGTTCGTCTGGTCTGCCGGTTCGTCTGGTCCGCCGTTCCATCAGGTCTGCCGGTTCGTCTGGTCTGCCGGTTCGTCTGGTCTGCCGGTCCGTCTGGTTCGCCAGTCCGCGTCCACGTTTTATCTACACCATACAAGCTCCAAATCTTTTGCTGCTTTTGGGTCCTTGACAATCTGCAGGATTTTTAAGAACTGAAATAAATCCTGGTATCGCGATTTACTAAAAAGTGTCTTATATTTTTAAGACGACAATATTTTGGGGCATTGTCGTTTCAAAATTGAGGTTTCAGATTGGCTATAATTGGGTGATAACATTTCGCTTGCGAGTAGTAAATGAATTACGACCATGCTTAAAGATATAGTTCATTGATATTTCATAACGAGAAGATGACGCCCTCCAGAAATAGGCCTTTTTTGATAAAAGGACCATCTCAAGAGTTTGGAAGCGAGTCGAGGACCTCCTCAAGATAGACCCAAGCCAGAAAAATGATGATGAACAAAACTAAGTTCAAACATCTGTCCAGAGGACGTTTCCAGGAGCAATAATGCCCTAAGGCCAGGGAGGGACCGAAAGGGAAAACCTGATGATGACGATGATGGATAACGAGCAAAGAAAAGGAAAGCTGAATTAAGCGCGCGCGCTTCAAATTTTTACAATTGTTGATTGCGCCATTGCGCGCGCTTGTATGAGAATTTAGCTGTAAATCAAAGAAAATCGCTCAGYTTTTTTGTTTTTTTTTGTTTCGTTTTCTTTTTTGCGTGTTAAATTCTTTAGAATCAGGGTGCAAAACTTCCCGACGGAGCCCAATACCGAATATATTTTCTTCCAGCCGTCAATATTTCGTGGTATTGTCGTCTCAAAATCGTAATTAGTTTATAATATCAGTTATTTAGAGCGTCTAGTTTTCAACAAGAAAATATTCATTTGCTGGAAAGTTGCATAAATGTAGATTTCGTTCAGATAAGATGGCCGCCACGAAACTCAAGTGAATTGATCGTGCAGAGATTGATGGGATTGATTCTTTTTCTATCACGGAAGTCATCATTTTCGCACCTATCCAGATCAACCCGGTAATTAGAATTTAATATCACGACAAAGGCATAAGGGATACGGGATACACATTTTTTAAATGCACCTGCTTCTATGATCGCGGGGTGGGTAAAAGTAATTTCAAGAATCTCCTAAATTAATTGTCAAGCGCAAGACTTCAACGAAATTCTGTCAGGCGTCGACGTGCATTTTTATACAATACATTTCGTAAAACTAAGAATCCTCTTTAGAGGTTATTAATACGAGATTTTTCTGAGTTATAATAAGTCATCTTTCGAAAAAAAGAAAGAGTTGAACAGTTGAAGGGACTGTTAAAGTAAATAAAGAAAATGGCGTTCTCACCAAGACAAGCATTCGGCATCATTACTTAGTTTACGTCTACAGAAGAAGTAACACACGTTTACAGATCACTCGCTTTAGATAGATTTGCTAGTACCTATGTCACTTTTATTACATAGGGAATGATTACGAACAACATCCAACATGGGTGCCACTTATATTCCTTTACAAAAAATTAACACAGCAATGGCTGCCACCTAGATCGAACCATTGACCCAATGAGCCTGCGTGCCTGCGTGCCTGCGTGCCTGCGTGCCTGCGTGCCTGCGTGCCTGC